TGGGATCTTCCCGGGCCAGGGCTTGAACCCGTGTCCCCTGCACTAGCAGGCAGATTCTTAACCACTGCGCCACCAGGGAAGTCCCTGGGTGCAATTTTTTTTTTTTTTTGCGGTACGTGGGCCCCTCCCTGCCGCCGCCTCTCCCGTTGCGGAGCACAGGCTCCGGACGCGCAGGCTCAGCGGCCATGGCTCACAGGCCCAGCCGCTCCGCGGCATGTGGGATCTTCCCGGGCCGGGGCACGAACCCGCGTCCCCTGCATCGGCAGGCGGACTCGCAACCACTGCGCCACCAGGGAAGCCCCCTGGATGCAATTTTTGCTTTGACGAATGTAAAATGTATTACAGAAGTTTTACAGCAATATAGATTTCCTTACCCTTTGTTCTTTATGTTATAGTTGTCATATTAATACCTCAGCATGAATTGAACTTCACCTTCTGAGACTGTGGTATAATTTTTTCCTTCAAAAGTCATACTTATAGTAAAAGAATTTAAGAGGAGAAAACTAAGCTATCTCATTTATCCAGATGCTACCCCTTCTGTGGCTCTTTCTTCCTTCCTGAAGATGTTCCAACTTTAGGAGCTCTTGTGTCATTTCACTTCAGCCTGAGGAAGGTCTTTTCCTATTATTTTATATCTATAGCTACCTGATAACTAACTCTTTTGTCTTCTTTCATCTTCATCAGCCTTTGTTTTATTTTCATTTTTGTTTTGCCTTCAATCTTTAAGGATGTCTTGGCTACATCAGTATTCTGAGATGATAGTTCTTTTCTTTCAGTAGTTTCTTTCTTTCTTTCTTTCTTTCTTTCTTTTTTGCGGTACGCAGGCCTCTCACTGCTGTGGCCTCTCCCGCCGCGGAGCACAGGCTCCGGACGCGCAGGCTCAGCAGCCATGGCTCACGGGCGCAGCCGCTCCGCGGCATGTGGGATCCTCCCGGACCGGGGCACGAACCCGCGTCCCCTGCATCGGCAGGCGGACTCTCAACCACTGCGCCACCAGGGAAGCCCTGAATAACTTTTATATTGCCTTGAAGCTCATTATCTGTCATTACAAACATAGGACAAATGTTTGGAATCTCACTTTATTGTTGACTTTGGTTTGTGAAATTGCCACTGCTCTTTAAACAGTTATAATATAGGACTGTTTAAGGACCAGGCACTACCAAACTTTGAAAATATGGAGACTTTTAGAATTTATGTAATTAAAAATATGATTCTTTCCGTTTGGGGTTAGCCAGTTGGAAAGTTTAAATTGAAACGTGTCATGATTGAGGGTTTTTTTTTTCCCCCCAAATGGTATTTAAGACAACAAACACCCTCCACCCCACCACTTCCTCAGCTAACACCTGGTCTTTCTCCTCCCTTTCACAACAAAGTTCTTGAAAGTATTATCTACACTCCTGGTCTCCATCCTCCTCACCCAACTTACTCTTCAACCCCGCCCCTAAGATCTGGCTTCTGCTCCCAGCTCTCCCTTACATTTCACCCACAGTGATCACCAGTAGCCTCTTGAGTGCCTCTCCGACCTATATTCCTGAACTTATCGGAAGCATTAGGCAATGTGGACGACTTTTTGAAGCTCTCTGGCTTAAACAGCTACCCTTCTAGACCTCCCCACTTCCCACTCCTCCTTGTATTTTCCTCCCTTTGTTAATAGTACCCTCCATCCATTACTCAGGTACCCAAGCCAGAGAGCTGATAGCCGTCCTGTCTTTTCCCTCACCTCCTACCTGTAGTCACCAACTCCTGTTCACCCTTCCCCCACGGTAGACCTAGAATCCCATCCCTTCTCCAGCTCAGTCCGGGTCACCTTCCCTCTCACCTGGACCACTGTACAGTGTCCTGACACGTCTCCCTATATCTACCCCTGCCCCCTGCAATCCATCCTCTCCACAGAAGCAGCCAGACCAATCTTTCCAGAATGGTCATTTCACCTCTGGTCGCTCCTCTGATTTGCCACTGCCCTCAGGACAAAGTCAGCGCAGATTCACCTGATATGTGACCCAGTGGATCACTTTCTCTTTCCTAGAACAATGTTTCCATTTGGCTATCAAAACACACTCCTGATTTTTCTTCCACCTCCCTGGCTACTCCTTCTCATTCTTGTTTGCCGGATGCTTGCTTCTCCCCAATCACTTAATACTATTAAGTGTTTCAGGGCCCAGTCGTTGGTCCTTTTCTTGTCTTGCTCTATACTCACTCCCTTGGTGATCTCATCCAGCCTCGTGGCTTTAAATATGTCTATGCTGGTAATTTGTATCTCAACCCCAGACTTCGTCCCTGAAATCCAGACTCAAATATGCAACTCCCTAGCCAACTTGGAGCTCACTAGACACTCAAGTTTGCTTCCAAAACCGAGCTCGTGATCTTCATGCCTACACTGTGCCCTTGCCCAGTCTTTCCCTTCTCAGTTAAGGACAATTCCATCCTTCCAGTTGCTAAGGCCAAGAGCCTAAGAGTGGTCCCTGACTCTAACTTTTCTCTCACATCACACTCTATCCATTAGCAAGACCTGTTTATACTCAAAATATAGCCAGTGAAATGATATGATGTCTGGGATTCACTTCCAAATAATACAGGAGGGGAGATGTGGATGGAGATACCATTGAAACAAGATTGTCTGTAGGTTGGGACTTCCCTGGTGGTCCAGTGGTTAGGACTCTGTGCTTCCACTGCAGGGGGCATGGGTTCAATCCCTGGTTGGGGAACTAAGATCCCGCGTGCCGGGCGGCCAATAAAAATAAAAATGGGCAGAAGACCTGAATAAACATTTAAAAAACTGTCTACAGGTTGATAATTGTTGAAGCTGGATGGAGGATGGTACATGGAGGTTCATTGTGTTATTCTGCTTTTGTTCATGTTTGAAATTTTCCATAATAAGACAATTGAATCCTACCACTTCTCCCTACCTTTCACTGCTCCCATTCTGATCCAAGGCGCCACAGCTCTTGTCTGGACTGTTGTAGTAGCTTCTTAACAGAATTCCTGCTTCTGCTCTCACCTCCACTCCCCACCCTCTGCTTTTAATCCAATCTTCCCACGAACAGCCAGGGTGATACCATTCAAATGAGAGTCCATCCATGTCCCTCTTCTGCTTGGAACTCCCCAGTGGCTCCCCATTTCAATCAGAGTAAAAGCCAACGTCTTAGTGGTCTCCAGGATCCTACACAATTTGCCCCCTACCCTTGTGCTCAAACCTCATCCCCTCCCACTATCCCCCCTTGATCATTCCATTCCAGTCACACTGCTATTCCTCAATCACACCAGGCATACTGCCGCCACAGGGCCTTTGCACTTGCTGTTCCTTCTCCCATTCCTTTTTAATTTATTTTTATTAAAAAAATTTTTTTTATGTTTTTTAATTTTTGGCTGAGCCGGGTCTTAGTTGTGGCACACGGGATCTTTCATTGGGGCATGTGAACTTCTTAGTTGCCGCATACAGACTCTCAGTTGTGGCATGCATGTGGGATCTAGTTCCCCGATCAGGAATCGAACCTGGGCCCCCTGCATTGGGAGAGTGGAGTCTTACCCACTGGACCACCAGGGAAGTCCCACCTTCTCTCATTCTTCCCTCTGACATACATACCGCTCACTCTTCGTCTTCTTCATGTCTTTGATCAAATGTCTCCTTTTCAGACCTTCCCTAACCACCTTTTTTGAGACTGAACCCCTGAACATTGCCACTTCTCACACCCCCACCCGTAGTCAGTACCTTTTAACATCTTTCCATGCTTTATTTTCCTGATTAGCACTTATCACCGTCTTAATTATTATAATGTTACTTATTTATCCTGTTTATTATCTGTCTCCACCATTAGAGTGTTAGCTCTCTGCAGTCCGAGAATTTTGCCTATTCACTGCTGTATCCACAGGACACCTGCCTGGCACATAGCGGGCACTCAGCAAATGTTTATTGAATGAATGAGTTAATGGCATTCTGAGTTTCAATCCCTGCCCACCTGTCCAGGCACAGCTCTCACCTCTCTCCTCCCTGCCCTCCAAGCCAATGTGGACCTGACAGCCGAGTCCTGGCACATACCAGGATGATTCACACTTCTCAGCCTTATCCTGTCTTATGTCCTCTGTCTCCTGGCCGCCTTCCCAGTCTTTTAAGACTCATCTCAAGCAGGTGTTCACTGACACCACAGGTAACCCCAAAGAAACTCTTCTGCCTGAATTTCCACCAGGTTTCTGTGCCCTCTTTTCTCCTAGTACACAGGACACTGGACTCTCTGTGTCTCCTCTGTCTCCCCCACTGCTCTGGGAGCCCCTGGGGCAGGAACCAGTCTTACATTGTCTTCTTAGCACAATGTCTGACACCCAGCCAGCACTCACTAGATGTACAGTGAAGGAATAACAATACTTGCATTTACTTAATGTTTTCTCTGCTAAATGTTCTCACGCTTTATCCACACAACCTATGGGGTAGGTATTATTCTTAAACCCATTTTAAGGATTATTTATGTGAGGGTCAGAGAGGTTAAGAGTCTGGCAAAGGGCAGACTGGAATTCCAGAGTTCGTTCTGCGGAACCCTGGAATTCCCACTGTTCAGCCCAACCTCGAGTGAGTCACTGCTCTTACTGAGCCTGTTTCGGGTGACAAGGTTGTGGGGATGGGATTGGTGGATACCATCCAACTCCCATCTCCTGCGGGAGTTGCCTTTCCCAGGGCCATCCTCAAGCCAGTTTCAGTTTCCAAGTTGTAAAAGGGAAACTAAGAGGTGAGAAACGAAACCTACAGCAGAAAGGGTGACTAAAAGCCCCGCCTGTTAAGGTGGTTTCACCCAGTGTCCCTCAGTACCCCAGCTGCAGTGAACAGCCTCCAGGAAGAGGATCCCCTGGTCAGCCAGACACCCCTTGTTTCCTCTCCACTCTGGTCCTTTATTCCACAGGGTGCTGGAGGTCAGCTGAGGAGGAGTCCCCTTAAAGAAGAGTGTGTGTGCCAGGAGCTGGGTAGGTGTGTGGGTATATATCTAGCCACCAGTGGTACTCTCAAGACAGAGATGGCAGTGCCCCCGGAGCTGTTTGTCACCCCAGCTTCCAGGCTGGACTCCTTCGTGGCTCACTGCCTGCATCCCAGCCAGAAGTGGAAAAAAGAGGTGCTGGAGACTGTGCAGACCGTGGAACAGTTCCTGAGGGAGCAGAGCTTCCAGGGGGAGCATGGCCTGGACCAGGAATTGGGGGTGCTGAAGGTGGTCAAGGTGAGACTGGTTCCCTCCATCCCCAGGCCAGGGCTGGGAAAAATGCTGCTTGTGGGTCTACATCCCTGAGGATGCTAGGACCTCTTGCCTCATTATCTCTAGCCCATGCTACTGACATCTAAAGAAACTCCATCCCAATGCACTGCTGCCTTAAGCAGAGCAAGTCCAGTAAGGAAGCTAATAATAATAGTGTACTTTTTGGGATGCACTAGCCTAACCCCTTAACATGTATTATGTCTAATTTGTGTACCCTGTGAGGTATGTACTATTCTTTTCCCATTTTACAGATGAGCAGAATGGAAACTCAGTGATTTAAGATCCATAATGACCAAATGCAATGCAAGGTCTCTGATTGGATCTTGTTGTGAATGGACCATCTGTAAAATATAATTTGGGAACAATTGGGGAAATTTCAATATGGCCAGAATGTTAAATAATATATATAAGGGAATTGTTTTTTTAAATATTTATTTATTTAATTTATTTATTTTCTTGGCTGCGTCAGGTCTTAGTTGTGGCAATGCGGGATATTTTGTTGCAGCGTGCGGGCTCGGGCTTCTCTCTAATTGTGGCGTGCGGGTTTTCTCTTTGTAGTTGTGGTACGTGGGCTCCAGGGTGTGTGGGCTTTGTAGTTTGTGGCACACGGGCTCTCTAGTTGAGGCGTGGGAGCTCAGTAGTTGTGGCACGCGGGCTTAGTTGCCCTGCAGCATGAAGGATCTTCGTTCCCTGACCAGGGATCGAACCTGAGTCCCCTGCATTGGAAAGTGGATTCTTTACCACTGGACCACCAGGGAAGTCCCAGGGAACTGTTTTTTTTTTGAGGCGAAATAGTTTTGTGGTTATGGGGGAAAATGTTCTCCTTTGTTGGACACAAATGCTAAAGTATTTAGGGACAATGGTCCTTAGCGTCTGTAATTTACTTTAAAGTGGCTTAGTTGAAGCAAATATGGCAGAGTTTAGACTTGTTGAATCTGGGTGGATGTATAAGTGTTCATTGTATGCTCTTTCTGTTTTTCTGTTTAAAGTTTTTGATAATGGAAATTTTTTTTAATGGAAGCTCAGAGAGGTGAGGTCACTTGCCCAAGGTCACACAGCTAGTAGTGAAGCTGGGATTTCAACCAGGATCTATCTTACTCCACTCCAGGCTGCCCTCACTGAGCTTTTTTCCCCCAAGCCCTTCCTGCAGCTGCATCATGTCACCTCCTGTCCTAGCTAGGATAATAATGCAAGAAGGTCAAAACTAGAAAGGTGTGATGAGGAAAACAACTTTTGAGGAAAACGATTTTGTTTTTCTGAGTGGCTGCCTAGGCATTTTACAGTATGGTGACCCTACTAACACCAAATGTTCAGAGTCTGGACTTTTAGATAGGTTTAGGGTATCCCCACAGGTTCCTGCTTTGCCTTCCCCGGTGGAACCTTTTAATATAACCACTGAGTGGGCTGCCCTGGTGGTCCAGTGGTTAAGACTCTGAGCTTCCACTGCAGCGGGCACGGGTTCGATCCCTGGTCAGGGAAGTTCTGCATGCCGCACTGTGTGGCCAAAAAACATAAATAAATAATTTTTTTTTAAATGTAGAGCTAAGAGGGTTAAAAAAAATTTTTTTTTAATGTAAATTGATACAGCCACTATGGAGAACAGTATGGAGGTTCCTTAAAAAACTACAGATAGAATTACCATACAACCCAGCAATCCCACTACTGGGCATATACCCTGAGAAAACCATAATTCAAAAAGAGTCATGTACCAAAATGTTCATTGCAGCTCTATTTACAATAGCCAGGAGAGGGAAACAACCTAAGTGTCCATCATCGGATGAATGGATAAAGAAGATGTGGCACATATATACAATGGAATATTACTCAGCCATAAAAAGAAACGAAATTGAGTTATTTGTAGCGAGGTGGATGGACCTAGAGTCTGTCATACAGAGTGAAGTAAGTCAGAAAGAGAAAGATAAATACCGTATGCTAACACATATATATGGAATTTAAGAAAAAAAATGTCATGAAGAACTTATGGGTAAGACAGGAATAAAGACACAGACCTACTAGAGAATGGACTTGAGGATATGGGGAGGGGGAAGGGTAAGCTGTGACAGAGCGAGAGAGTGGCATGGACATATATACACTACCAAACGTAAAATAGATAGCTAGTGGGAAGCAGCCGCATAGCACAGGGAGATCAGCTCGGTGGTTTGTGACCACCTAGAGGGGTGGGATAGGGAGGGTGGGAGGGAGGGAGACGCAAGAGGGAAGACATATGGGAACATATGTATATGTATAACTGATTCACTTTGTTATAAAGCAGAAACACACGATTGTAAAGCAATTATACTCCAATAAAGGTGTTAAAAAAAAATAACCACTTAGAGTTAAGCCTGTGAAAAGTTAGTAACCTCTGCCCCAATCACCTTGTAAGTACTAGGTGCTTGCTACTCTGCTCTATCTTCTGCTGGCTTGTGACCTGGGGTGGAAGACTGCCCTTCCCCCTGCTCACTGTGTCCCCTTGCTTCTGGGATCTGTAAGTAAAAAATTATTAAAAAAAAATTTTTAAATTAATTTTTGTTGGAGTATAGCTGCTTTACAATGTTGTGTTAGTCTCTGCTGTACAGCAAAATGAATCAGTTATACGTATACATATATCCCCTCCTTTTTAGATTTCTTTCTCATTTTGGTCACCGCAGAGCATTGAGTAGAGTTCCCTGTGCTATACAGTAGGTTCTCATTAGTTATCTGTTTTGAAAGTAATAAATCTTATGACTCTACTCCCTTTGTATGGGTGTATTGAAACTGCACCTTTCTCATTAGTTATCTCTCTTTTTTTTTTTTTTTTTTGCGGTATGCGGGCCTCTCGCTGTTGCGGCCTCTCCTGTTGTGGAGCACAGGCTCCGGACGCGCAGGCTCAGCGGCCATGGCTCATGGGCCCAGCAGCTCCGACGCATGTGGGATCTTCCCGGACCGGGGCACGAACCTGTGTGCCCTGCATCGGCAGGTGGGCTCTCAACCACTGCGCCACCAGGGAAGCCCAGTTATCTATTTTTGAAAGTAATAAATCTTATGACTCTACTCCCTTTGTATGGGTGTATTGAAACTGCACCTTTCCTCCAAATGACCCCATGGGTTTCATTTCCCCACAGAGGGAGTTTGGATGCTGAGGGAGCTACCTGCCCACACTGTGTGGGCGGCTTGTGCCCCCTGGCCAACAAGAAATTAACACTTTATTTGGGCTTTAAACCCTCCCCCGACCCCTGAAAATCTGGTAAACTGTGCTGGTCCACACAAGTGAATGCTTGTCCTTGGATTTGAATAGGTTTGGACTGAAGCAAGTCATGAAGCCTGTTCCAGAACGCTCTTCCCTCTCTGCCTGTATCTTACCACTGGAAAAGGCGGGACGGGCAGCACAGGCACAGCCTTCAGCGGGATGTGCTCTTCATCTGCACCCAGAGGGCCATTCCCAACCCTCTCACATAGGGCAGAAACGCTGAGTCCGAACGCAGGTGGAGAAAGAAAATGGGAAAGGAAGAGGAGACAAAAGATGGTGGACTCCTGCACAGAAGCAGGGCCTGCCACATAGACTTGGGTCACAGGGAAGAGAGAGGTAGAACTACCACACCTGGTGTTCTGACTCTATCTGACTGTGACTATCACTCCTGGCTGTGAGTCCATGGCAAGTTGATTAACCCCCAACTGCCTTCCTTTTCTCATGTGTACAATGAGGATAATTATACTAGTCCCCCCACCTCAATTAATGGGAGTGAGGATTAAAAGACATTGTGTGTATAAAGGGCTTTCAGTGGTGCCAGACACAGCGAGGGCTCAACTGGCGGCAGCTGGGTCATCATCAATGTTCCTTGACTCCACCCACCACCAGAGGTAGCCGACCTGAGGTCTGAGGCATCCCTGGCAATTCCACCTCCCGACTTGTAGTGAGAAAGAGAGAAGGCCAGAGAGTTGGGGGACTTTGTATACTGGAGGCCACAGCGCTGGAGAGCAAGTTTAGGATCTCAGAACATCAAAAAGACCCTTTCAAAATCATCCAGCTCAGGCTCCTTCAATTCAGATGGGGAAGCTGAACTCCAGGCAGCAGAAGAGATGATCTAAGTCAAGTAGAGCAGGAGAAGGAAGAGAGATATATTGCTGACTTCCTGTGTGCCAGGCACCACGGCAAGCCCTTGGCACACATTGTCTTGTCGAATCCTCCCAATCAGCCAGTGACTCATGTGCCGTCATTACTCTGAGGTTCCAGGTGGGCAGCGTTCAGAGGATGATGCAACTGAGAATCAGGGGCGCGAGGCGAGGTCAAGGTCAGGCGGCCCCGTTCCCCAGTCTGCGGTTCTCATCCACCAGGCAATCCTGTGCCCCCATTTTTATTTTTATTTTATTTTTTAGATATTTATTTCTTCATTTATTTATTTATTTAGGCTGTGCCAGGTCTGAGTTGCCGCAGGCGGGATCTTAGTTGCGGCATGAAGACTTCTTAGCTGCGGCATGCACGCAGGATCTAGTTCCCCAGCCAGGGATCAAACCTGGGCACCCTGCATTGGTGGGGGGCAGAGTTTTACCCACTGGACCACCAGGGAAGTCCCTGTGCCCCCCTTTTTAATGTCATGAAATTATTCAGACATCCACTCCCCCCAGAATCCTCCAACCACCACCCTGTGGAGGATGACTGTTCCCTTGGAGTGGGGATCACTCTGCAGATAAGGCTGAGTCTTGGAAGCGAGGCAGTGGAGTAAATAAGAAGCGTGGGCTGTGGAGTCTGGCTGCCTGGTTGGAAGCACCCACTGTGTGACTCTGAACGAGAGGCTTGCCTCTCGACATCCCCGCTTTCTCTCCTGTAAAGAAGGGATGTTAATACTCCCCACCCAGACTTCCCTGGTGGCACAGCGGTTAAGAATCTGCCTGCCAATGCAGGTGACACGGGTTCGAGCTCTGGTCAGGGAAGATCCCACATGCTGCGGAGCAACTAAGCCCGTGCGCCACAGCTACTGAGCCTGCGCTCTAGAGGCACTGAGCCACAACTACTGAGCCTGCGTGCCACAACTACTGAAACCAGCACACCTAGAGCCCGTGCTCCGCAACAAGAGAAGCCACCGCAATGAGAAGCCCGTGCACCGCAATGAAGAGTAGCCCCTGCTCACCACAACTAGAGAAAGCCCATGCACGCAGCAAAGAAGACCCAATGCAGACCAAAATAAATAAATAATTTTTTAAAAAGGGAATACTCCCCACCCATCCCTCAGGGCGGTGGTGATCATCCGTGGAAAGAGCCTCAGGAATTGCCTGGTCCAGGCAGTGGCCTCGGGGTGATGGGACTTTGTGTTCTGCAGGTGGGCTCCTTCGGGAACGGCACAGTGCTCAGGGACAGCTCAGAGGTGGAGCTGGTGATGCTCCTGAGTGGTTTCCACAGCTTCCAGGAGGAGGCCAGGCACCACGACGACGTTCTGAGCCTGCTATGTGAAAAGCTCAGGTATTGCCAGGACCTCCTGAGCCTCAAGCTCCAGGACCTGAGGCTGGTCCAGGGAGTCTTCTCTGCTGTCACCTTCACCATCCAGTCCTGGGAGACTGCGGAGCCCATCACTGTCACCATCGTGCCGGCCTACAGGGTCCTGGGTAAGCAGAAGCCCACCAGACTCACACGACCACCCTCCCGGGGGACCCGCAGCTTCCTCACCTCTCCTTCCTGGCCACGTGCAGACACCTGTATTCACCCATTCAACCCATGTCCTGTGCTGGGTGCTGGGTGACCACAGTGCCTGGGACTGACTCAACTCTGGCTGTCCTGTGGCTCAACTTAGGAAACAGATTTATCAAAGAATCACGCAGATAAATATATGATTGGAGAGGAAGTGAGAGCCATGGAGGGGAAGGAGTAAGAGCAACCCTGGGAGCTTCTGAAACATTTACCCCGGGGGCGGGGGCCTGTCATTGTCTGTGCTTTCCTGGAAGCAGAGCCTGAGACAGGAATGTGAGGATAAGCAGTCCCAGGAGATGCTGGTGGGGAAGCAGGGGAGTGAGATGGAAGCGGGGGAGCACGACAAGGTGCAGGTTGAACTAGTCACCGTGCTGAGCAGCTGGGCTTGTGCCCTTCAGAGCTCTGGGAAAAGTGCCGAGCACGTCTCCCAAGTGGGTTGTTGAGTGTTTCAGCCACCAGCTTCCGCTTCCATCAGCCATTGGCTGAGGGCTGCTTCCCAGGAGCACCGATGGCACTAGTAACGGTATCAGCTACAAGCTCAGATGATTCAGCTTTCATCTGGTGCACCGGCTCCTCTTAACTTGAGTGGCTGCTGGGAGTTGCTCCATGGAGAAAGTGTCAGAATTGGGATCCCATCTGAGCCAGAAAGAGACAGTGGGAGGCATTAGTGTTAGTGATGTATGCCCCACCCTTCAGCAAACGTGCTCTCTGAGCCCAGCTTTCTTATATGGAATTAGTCCTTCCCTATAGTGATGGAAGCTTCATATAAATCGCTGAGAGATCCAAAACAGACATTAAGGGAAACTGAGGGTGTTGGGCACATCAAGAGAGGACCATAGTCCTTGAGTAGCCTGAGGAATAGAAAACCCACTTTAAAAAAATGTATTTTATTGAAGTCTAGTTGATTTACAATGTTGTGTTAATTTCTGCTGTACAGCAAAGTGAGTCAGTTATCCATATGTACACCATTAGGTTTTATCACAGCATACTGAATCTAGTTCCCTGTGCTGTACAGTTAGGATCTTGTTGTTTCTCCATCCTATGTATAATAGTTTGCATCTGCTGATCCCAAACTCCCAATCCATCCCTCCCCCACCCGCCCTCCCCCTTTGGTAACCATAAGTCTGTTCTCTATGCCTGTGAGTCTGTTTCTGGAAAACTCACTTTTGATTCTCCAGAAGGACAATCAAGAAGGCAAACTGTTAGTCTCGTAAGCTATGTGGTCCCAGGTCTCCCTGGAGAGATACTCCAATAATTACCAGTCTCTCCCCCATGGAGTAGTCAGCAACCTGGGGCTTCCTGAGCCCTCACTCTCTCCCCTTCGCCTCCTCTCTCTTCAGGGCCTTCTGTTCCCAACTCTCATCCCTCCCCAGAGGTCTATGTGAGTCTGATTAAGGCCTGCGGTTCCCCTGGACATTTCTCCGCATCCTTCAGCGAGCTGCAGAGAAACTTCGTGAAACACCGGCCCGCCAAGCTGAAGAGCCTCCTGCGGCTGGTTAAACACTGGTACCTGGAGGTGAGGAGGCTGCCAGGCTGGGGGCAGGAGCGGAAGATGGAGGAGGGAGGGGAAGAAAAAGGAACAATATCTGTCATCTCGGAAAACTGCACCAAGAGGCAATGGAGGTGGGGTGCGAGAGAAGGCTCACCTTTTTTTTTTTTTTTTTTTTTTTTTTGGGGCCCG